CAAGACGAGACTTCTTTCCCGACACTAGTACAAGCGAATGCCTGGCGCGAGGTAATGTTAGAAAGCAGCCAGGGGTGCGAGCGGCGGTCGGGGGTTGTTCTCGAGGCGGGTGGGGTGTTGTACACCTCCGCGATCCATATTTTACAATATGGCCGGGGGGGTGGCAGGCAGGGGTGGCCTATAGGCGGCACGCTGATGTACGCAGGTCTGCCAACGATTGGTCGATAGCAACGCGACGATTCTCTCCGTGAAAGCTCCTTGCGTCCCGCTTTCCCTTCCGCGGCCTGCTTGTCACGCACACGAGCGCAAATTTATGCGCGTCGTATGCGTGTGCGCGATCGTATGCAGATCCACGGCGAGCCCCACCAAGCCGTCGGTTTCATCCCTCCATGAGAAACCCTTCTCGCTGTCGTAGCCTATCGCCCTTCGTCTTCGCTTACGCGAGCATCCCTCGAACTCCTCGAGGGTGGATCTTTTTACATCACCTTCTTCGCGTTTCTAAAAAATGGCGAATCGCATTACGAGTTTGGAACAGCAAGAAAGTGCTAGTATAAATACTGTATTTTTGATATTTACACATAATATTGTTTACATAGATGGACGATTAGATTTGACTGTTATCATTTAATTTGTAATTGATGATGATGTTATCCTTTTCAATTAAAAAGTAGTAATAGCCAAGTGTTGAAACACACTCGGATACAAAATACGTTATCTGAGAAATTAAAACTGATGGTATAAGATGTATGAAGTTTCATACGTTATATAATACGGACGATTTAACAATTTCAATTTAAAGCTACCTTGAAAGATAAACGACCGGATTCCGACAGCTATCACGCCTGCTAAGCCAAGTACGTATTTCGTTGCAGTTTTCAGTTACCGATAAAGTTATCGCAGATGCTTTAATGCACTCAGGGCCTAAATCTGAGATTGTTTTACCTCTTCCACACATTCTAATATATCAATTATTAATAAATATTCCTTGGCTTCTGACGATTATTTTGTACAAAAATATTTTGTCCCATCTTATGCAACCAGCAAAAGAATATCCTTGTATCTAAATCGTTCAAATTCGACCTCTCGGAAGCGTAAATAGCTGTAATCCCCTTCAACGTAAATTTTTAATCATTCACAATCTACGCAGACGATCGCAGTACACACGCGAACAGGGGATGGGAGGGCGAGCAACGAAAAGTTTTCCGCCTCCCTCGTCCGAGCATAGCGAGAGGGAGAGGGAAGAAAGGGGAGAGTCGACTACACTTGCCCCGAGAAACAACGAGAATAGCAAACAAAGGACCTCAGGCTAGGTACATTATGTTCTCTCGAACTCATAAGAAAACGGGACTTCGAAATAGTAATGATATTATGTTTGCACCGCTTTTCTCCCGGCGAAAGGAAGCCGTGGACCAGGAGAGAAAGGAGGTAGGAGAAATGAGAGAAAGAGGACCGGCCGCGTTGGAGGAAGAGAAGAGGTCGCAGGGGTTGAAGGGAGGAACCGCGTAGGCAGCCAGGACGATCGCAGGACGAGGAGGGTGCGGAATCCTTCGACGTCACGGGAGGCTGAGGCGTAATATCCCGAGTAAAACTTTTCACTCAACGCGAGAATAGGAGGGGGTGGAATCGGATGGAAGCGAACGACGTACGGTTGAGGACAAGGGGCGGCGAGGGGGAGGATGAAGGAACGACTAAGTACGAAGAATGTAATGTCCTCCTACCGCCGGTCCGCTATACCTTTCACCGGATTTCACTCGGACATGTCCAATGGAATAATAAGGATAAGGACGCCACGGAAAGAAAGACCGGACACAAGATGCGCGGACTTTAGAGATACTAAAAATAGGGGAAGGGGCCTGAATGGAAAAGTAAAATCATATCGATGATATTAGTTGATTGAATTTATAAATGTGTCCCATTAGTTCTCGCACATATGCAATATATATAATTTTAGTTATATTTAATCTGCCTTTCTCGGCCGAAATTTTTGAAATGTATCGTAAATATTTTGCAAATTTTTTACATTCTTTTGTATGTAAAAAATAATAATTACAAGTCATTAAAAAATGTGCATATATATATATATATATATATATATATATATATATATATTTATTTATTTATTTATTCAATGTGGAATCAATAAACGTAAGTGAACTCTCCTCGGTAACTGAAATACTCGTCGCGATAGTGATTCTTTGCGACGATTACTCTTCGATGGCGGGGAAAACGCGGACCGATAAAAAAGCGAAAAGAAACTCGAGTGATCTTGTGTGTCGATGGTGGGAGTCTCGTGGTGACCGTTCCATAAAGGACACCGTGAGAATTGGAACTGCTTATGTGCCACGGCGACAACGGGTCGAGGAGCTCACTCTCGACTAGGCTAACCGCGAGAAAAACTCACCTTCATTATGCCATAGGTATCGTAATATAATGGTTAAAATTGCCATAAATGGTCGCGGCCTGTACGAGTGTCGCGCACACGAGTCGACGCGAAAACGTTGTTTCAAGAACTAGTGACTAATTGAGATTATCGAACGCTGATTGCTAATGACACTTGTACGTGAGTACAACATTTGAATTTTCAGATTTTCGCATCTGATTAAATATGTAATTATAAAAAATGTGTAACTCGAAAGAATGCATTGAGAGAGATAGAATGACGATATAAGCGATATGTTAATGAAATGCAAACGATAAATGCTCGATCGTCGCTAGTATGATACATTTCGCAAGTGTGAAAATGACAGCCGTCATTTCATTGCACTAACTGTTCCACATTAATGTGGGAGAGCTATGCCAGGACCATGACCAATTATGTTCGATTTAAAGTCATCATTATTGGACCCGTGAGAATTACGTTACTATACGTATTAAAGATGTAGTTTCTTATGAAATTTTTCGAAAGATATTTCTTTCGAAAGAATATTCTCATGTATAAAATATAATTAATATATTTCGACAATAAAAGACAATAAAAAATCCTTGAGGCATTATTTTGAAAAATACAATTTTTTTGAATTGTTATTTATTATTGATTAGATTATAATTAGATTATAATTGATTAGATTATATTGAAAGTAGATGTAACAAAATATAACCAAAATATAACAAAATATAACAAAATATAACAAAATATAACAAAAATAAACTCATAATATGCATTTTAAATATAGGAATCAATTTTCTAGTTTATTTAAATAAGATGAAATATTTGTGCATATATGTACGTTAGAATTAAACTGTTTAGATAGTCCAGATTCAAATTAGATACGCTTGTAGATTTCAATGATTTCCTTTACAGGTCGTGAAATAATGCACACAATTTAGTGCATTAAATTATAATTAGATTTTATTTGATATATTAAAGTGTGAAATATAATACAAAAATTAACTTGACAAATTGACTACATCACACCAAAATTTATTTAGAGAATTATTTATTTAGAAATTCCTCCTATTGTATAATGAGCTAGCTTCTGAAAGCTTCTAATAAATTGACACATGATTATATTTCAATTATAATAACTTCAAATAATTTTAATAACCGTTTATGCTAATTATAGAGTTTACATATTGTCTCCATATGTTTGTAAAAAAAATTTCGACAAATATTTTTTGCGCGCGCGCTTTCTCGTATGATTCGCAAATTTTCTATGAGTGACTATAAATGCATAACAATGCAAGATTGCTGAGCATATGCGCGCTATAGCTTCGCTAATGGCGAATGTACCGCGCTCGAGCGACCGAGCGGCGAGTAAGCCATTGCGAAGCGTGAAATGTTCAATCGTAAGTAAATTACAGGGCCTGAGGTTATTGAATAACATGGTACATAAACGTAATGAATAATTACCGGGCAATTATACCGATGCGTGTAACCTAACGCTATCCCCGGTACAACATACATAAACGCGAACGAGCGTACGGGTTCGAAGAACATTTTTTCATGTTAGTCAACACACAAAACATGACCTGACACCGGGTACTAATAGTCAGGAACAAGGAGTCTGGAAATTGGCAAGGGAGTCGTGCTTCTTTCGAGTGCCGACTGTAAAGAGCTGCTTACAACGCTGGTGAATCTGACGAGGCAAGTTTTCAATTGATCACAATCGTATTAATACAGTTAATTATATTCAAGTAACATGAAATCTTGATGTAAATTCTTTGGAAATATTTTTTTTCTTTTTATACATCTTTTTAAACAGTTCTTGCGATCATAGAGTAACAAAAATATTATTTCATTATACATATTAATAATGTTTTATGTAGAGAATTATAGTTATTTTATTGTGTAATCTTAAGAGGAAGAATGTAATGCACGAAATCATATGGCACAATTATCAATCTCTATTGAGTATATCAATATATATTTTTTCTTTCTTTTTTTCTTTCGTTAAATAATAATTTAGTATATCCAAAAGACTTTTTTACTTTCTTTTTCGTTTTTGGTTATGTTTTTTACTAAGTTGTTCGAATTTTTTTATATGATTTGAATAAAGTCAATTTTTTTGGATACTTTAATCATTTGTAATTTTTGATAAAATTACATAATTTTTTGAAATTCAACGATTAAATTATAGCTTACTTATTTTTAATAGAATAAAACGATCATATCAGATTTTTGAGAAAACAAATATATACAAAAATTTTATTGCAATTCTTATATGTTTAATATTTATTTTAGGTATTTTAGATATCAAAAAAATATTTTATTAAATTTTATTAAATAATAGTTGCCAATATGATCTAATGAGTCAATATGAAATGTACTATTTTTATAAGAATTATCATTTAATTAAAAAAACTAATAAAACTCTCATGTTAAAAATAAAATTTAAATTTCCCGAAATATTAAATGTCAGATATACGGATGATAAAATATAACGTTCAAGAGGACGAATAATACAAAACTTTAGGAATTCTATTTCTCTCTTTTTTTTCTCTTTGTATTATTTCAATCCAATAACCTTTATATTATACAACATCACGACTGCTGTAGAGACACAAGCAAACACGTACTACATACGTATCAGTTCTGTTCCGTCATCGCTGGTATCAACATATTCTAAATCATAGCAGTAGAGAGAGTGCAGGAAATCTCGTAGGAAAATTTGTCTCCAAAATTGGAAAACATCACTATTGAAATTAATTCAAGACCATCTATAAAATCATGTAAGATTAGCTTGATTTTCGAATCTAATGTTCTTCTTCTGACGTTTTTTCTCATTTTTTCAATTTCTTTTAACGGTTGACACGAAAACAACGCAGCTAGCATTTAATCAAAGTAAAAAAAGATGATTTTTGATTAAAATTAAATTAAATCAGTTTTACGTTTCTGAATTTTGAAGATTTCTAGAAATATTTTGCAGCTAGTCTCATAACAGACTTTACTAATATAACAAGAACAAAAAAGCTATCATATATAGTTGTCACAATGCGCATAACAGGTAATAATAAAAAATGTCAAATATTTCTTATAAAAATAATGTACATATAATTAAATACATAGTTAAATTTCGCTAGTTTTGTCATAAATTATTAATATAATTTAAAATAACTATATTGGTACATATAATCTAAAATAGTTCCTTTTTAATTTTATACTCAAATGAATTCCTTACAGCGTTATTTATGATCATTATCACCATTATCGGTACATTAATAATGTGTTCTAAAGGCATATTATCCATGGAAAATACATACTATTCATCAAGTACTTTTACAAATGTATCTGCAGCTTTTGTAACCTATCTAGAGTTCAAACATACACCTAATGAAACATTTCCGGTATGTAATTAATTTTTTTTATTTTCTATAAGTTTGAAGTTCTTTAAGTTTTTTTTAAATTTATGTTTTGTCACAGAAACCAATAAGCGAGGCAGATTTATTTACATTATTGTCCTTACTTCTTCAAGACGTTCCTCAAAACGACAAAAATTTCAGATTAACGAAACAGAATATGTATTTAGATTATCTTTTGGGAATTGTATATAAAGTAGCCCCTAATTACAAATATAAAACTCTAATTCAATTGTTAAAAAAAAGAAGTGTAAGATAAAGGACAAACTATATTATATGAATGTTATATATATATATATATATATATATATATATATATATATATATATATACACGTATGGTTCGAAATTATTCTGAATAACATATTTATACATGTTTAGGATATTAAAAATGACTTGCATATAACAAATGCAATATATGTTTCAAATAAGATTAAATTATCATCTAATTTTTTATCATTGTTTAACAATAAAATTCCGATTTCAAACATTAATTTTAAAAATAACATTCATGTTGCAAAAACGTTCAGTTTATGGGCCCAAAAGGCAACAAATAATAAAATACTAGACGTAATTCTTCCACGTATGTTTTACAATATTTTAATAATTAAGTATACAAAGATTAGAGAGAGACAGAGAGAGAGAGAGAGAGAGAGAGACAGAGAGAGAGAGAGAGAGAGAGAGAGAGAGAGAGAGAGAGGGAGGGAGGGAGAGAGAGTTTCTGCAAAACTTTATCAATAAAATATTTCATTTGAATAGGTGATATCGAAGAAGATACAACATTTGTTTTGGTAACTGGTGTTTATTTCAATAATAGATTGCTAAATGCACTCGAAGGAAATATAGAGAAACGCAGATTTCACGTTTCTCAAACAGAATCATACTACGTTCCAATGATTAAATTTAAGAAGGCGCTATATAAGTGTGCTTATATACAAGATTGGCATACGATATTTATTGAAATTCCATTGGTAAACAATTTATAAAAAAATTACAATTAATAATTATTTATAAGGAAATAAAATTAAATCAAAACATAATTTTATAGGATAAGAACATTACAATGATAATATTTTTGCCAACTAGAAAGATAACATTGGCGTATCTGGAAAATAGATTTGATTTTTTAATATTTCAAAATTATAGAAATAAGCTCAAAAAGATTGGCGAATATACTTACATCTGGCAATTATATTTACCCAAGTTTAAGTTTGAAATTACTCATAGTTTACATGGCATTCATAAAGTGAGTATTTAACGAATTAATTAAATTATATGATGGAAAAGATAATTTAGATAAATTCTAAGAAACTGAAATTAATAACTATTTGTAGAAGACTCGGAATCAAATAATAGAGATTGCACAATCGAATGTTCCTCTAAAGGTGAACGAAATCATTCAAAAGATTTCTATAGAATTTAACGAACACAATTTCATTACAACAGGTAATTTATCCATCTATGAATAATAAAAGACACTAAATGAATATTATAAGCATTACAACAAAATATTATTAACTGTAGTTGACGAAAAAAAATCAGAAGGAATGCCATCTCGCCGAAAGGATTTCATCGTAGATCGTTCATTCATGTTTGTTATCGAAATAAATGGAATAGTATTGTATGCGGGAAGCATGCGAAAACCAGATATTTTTCAAGAAGGAGAAAGAGATGAGTTATAAATTCTATTTTATTCTTATGTTTTGTTAAAAATTTATATATATATATATTATGCAATGTGTTTAAAGTGTACAATTTTTAAAATATTACTATTATTATTATATATGAAAAATTTAAGTATTTATAAATAATTTACATTTATGAAAATATATATGTATTTTTATCTCATCTTGATCGATCATTATGTATATATTATGATGCATGTAAATGCGAATTGTTTATATAGGATATCTTTAAGCAATAAACGAATCGATCAAAATAAGATTAAAACATATTTTCAAAATGTATATAAATGTATATATATATATTATATTATTTTATATATATATATATATATATATATATTTGTAGAAAATATATATATGTAATATTATAATTTATGTGTACAAAATTAGAGTTATTTAATTACAATCTTAAGAGAAAGAATGTAATTATACACGAAATCATATGACAAAATTATGTATCTTTATATTTTCTCTTTCTTTTTCTTTCGTTGATTGATAATTTAATATATCTAAAAGATTTTTTCACTTTTTTCTTCATATATTTGGTTATATTTTAATTAATATTTTTTATTGATTTGTTTATGAATTTTGTATGATTTGAATAAAGTTAATTTTTTTGGACACTTTAATCATTTGTAATTTCTGATGAACATTACATAATTTTTTAAAATTCAATGATTAAATTATAGCTTACTTATTTTTAATAGAATAAAACGATCATATCAGATTTTCGAGAAAAAAAATATATACAAAAATTTTATTGCAATTCTTATATGTTTAATATATATTTTAGGTATTTTAGATCATAAAAATCACCATAAAAATTATTTTATTAAATTTTAAATAAAAAATTGCCAATATAATCTAATGAGTCAATATGAAATGTATTATTTTTAAAAGAATTATCATTTAATTAAAAAACTAATAAAACTCTCAAACTCTGTTAAAAATAAAATTTAAGTTTCCCGAAATATTAAAGGTCAAATATACGGATGATAAAATGTAACATTCAAAGAGTACGAATAACACAAAACTTTAGGAATTCTATTTCTCTCTTTTTTTTATTTGTATTATTTCAATCCAATAACCTTTATATTATACAACACTACAAACAACATTATTTAACGACTGCTGTAGAGACACAAGCAAACACGTACATACGTATCAGTTCTGTTCCGTCATCGCTGGTATCAATATATTCTAAATCATAGCAGTAGAAAGAACAGGAAATCTCGTACGAAAATTTTTCTTCAAAGTTGGAAATTATCGCTATTGAAGTTAATTCAAGACCATCTATAAAGTCATGTAAGATTAGTTTGATTTTCGAATCTAACGTTCTTCTTCTGATGTTTTGTTTTCATTTTTTCAATTTCTTTTAACGGTTGACACGAAAACAACGCAGCTAGCATTTAATCGATGTAAAAGAAGATAATTTTTGATTAAAATTAAATTAATTAAGTCAGTTTTATATTTCTGAATTTTGAAGATTTCTATCTAATTTTTTCTATTCTTTCTAAGATTTCAAATATTTTGCAACTAGTCTCATAACGGATTTTACTCTTATAACAAAAGAAAAAAGCTATCATATATAGTTATCACAATGCGCACAACAGGTAATAATAAAAAATATCTAATGTTTCTTATTAAAATAATGTATATATAATTATATACGTACATAGTTAAATTTTGCTAGTTTTGTCATAAATTATTGGTATAATCTAAAATAAGCATACTGGTACATATAATCTCAAACAACTCCTTTTTAATTTTATACTCAAATAAATTTCTTACAGCATTATTTATGATCATTATCACCATCAGTACATTAATAATATGTTCTAAAGACATATTATTCATTGAAGAGATAAACTATCGAATAAATACTTTTCCAAATGTCTCTGCAGCTTTTATAACATATCTAGAGTTCAAACTTATACCTAATGAAAGATTTCCGGTATGTAATTAATTTATTTTTATTTTCTATAAGTTTTAAATTTCCTTTTAATTTATGTTTCGTCGCAGAAACCAACAAGCGAAGCAGATTTATTTACATTATTATCTTTACTTCTTCAAGACGTCCATCAAGACGACGAAGCTTTCATAATAGCAAAAATGAATATGTATCTGGCTTCTCTTTTAGAAATTGTATATAAAGTAGCTCCTAATTACAAATATAAAACTCTAATTCAATTGTTAAAAAAAAGAAGTGTAAGATAAAAGGACAAACTATATTATATAAATGTATATATATATATATATATATATATATATATATATATATATATATATATATATATACACGTATGCTAAATTCTTCCGTATAATAACATATTTATACATGTTTAGGATATTAAAAACGACTTGCATATAGCAAATGCAATATATGTCTCAAATAAGATTAAATTATCATCTCAATTTTTATCAATGTTCAACAATATCTTTAAAATTCCGATTTCAAACATTAATTTTAAAAATAACATTCATGTTGCAAAAACGTTCAGTTTATGGGCTCAAAAGGCAACAAACAATAAAATACTAGACGTAATTCTTCCACGTATGTTTTACAATATTTTAATAATTAAGTATACAAAGATTAGAGAGAGAAAGAGAGAGAGAGAGGGAGAGAGAGTTTCTGCAAAATTTTATCAATAAAATATTTTATTTGAATAGGTAAAGTCGAAGAAGATACAACATTTGTTTTGGTAACTGGTGTTTATTTCAATAATAGATTGCTAGATGCATTCGATGTAGAGAAACGCAGATTTGACGTTTCTCAAACAGAATCATACTACGTTCCAATGATTAAATTTAAGAAATCGCTATATAATTGTGCTTATATACAAAATTGGCATACGATATTTATTGAAATTCCATTGGTAAACAATTTATAAAAAATTTACAATTAATAATTATTTACAATTAATAATTATTTAGAAGGAAACTTTCAAGAATTAAATTAAATTAAAACATAATCTTGTAGGATAAGAACATTACAATGATAATATTTTTGCCAACTAGAAAAATAAATTTGGAGGACTTGGAAAGAATGTTTAATTTTTTTATATTTGAAGAGTATAAAAAAAATCTCAAAGAGTTTGAGAGATATACTTCCTTCTTGGAATTATATTTACCTAAGTTTAAGTTTGAAATTACTCACAGTTTACAACATGCCCTACGTAAAGTGAGTATTTAACGAATTAATTAAATTATGACGGAAAAGGCAATTCAAATAAATTCTAAGAAGCTAAAACTAATACTTATTTATAGAGGAATCTGAATAAAACAATAAAAATTACACAATCGAGTTATCTAAATGTGAAGGAAATCATTCAAAAGGTTTCTATAGAATTTAACCAAAACCGTTCCGTCATTACAACAGGTAATTTATTCATCTATGAATAATAAAAGAACTCTAAATGAATACTATAAGCATTACAACAAAATATTATTAACTATAGCTACCAGAAGAAAATCAAAAAGGATGGCATCTAACTCAACGGCGAAATTCGTCATAGATCGTCCATTCATGTTTGCTATCGAAATAAATGGAATAGTATTATATGCAGGAAGCGTGCGAAAACCAAATATTTTTTAAGAAAGAGAAAGAGATGAGTTATAAATTCTATTTTATTCTTATGTTTTGTTAAAAATTTATATATATATATATTATGCAATGTGTTTAAAGTATACAATTTTTAAAATATTATTATTATATATGAAAAATTTAGGTATTTATAAATAATTGACATTTATGAAAATATATATGTTGAAAATATATATGTTTCAATCTTATCTTTCTTCGATTATTATGTACATATTTTAATGCATGTAAGTAAATTGTTTTGATATTTTTAAGCAATCGATGAAAATGAGATTAAATCATATTTTCAAAATGTGGATTATATATATATATATGTAATATATATAATTTTATATATATATAATCTGTAATTTTAAAACAAAAAATAATTTCGTAAATAATTTATTTAATTCAAAAGAAATATTTAAATATAGTGAAATCTATATATGTTTTCCTTTAAAATAAAATAATTCTTTATTTTTTTAGTCATTTTTTCACATCCCTCCTTAATATACAAAGCATTCTTTGTTTCTAAACATTTTATTTTGCTAATTTTATTAGTAATCCATATAATTATATTAAATGAAAAAATATGCGATGAGAAAGAGAAAAGCAGAAAATATTTTATCATCGTTAAGTATACATCACATTTAATTTTGTCCAAAGCTTTTTTTTCAATACTTTTATCGATAGAATGTTATCGTGTAAATAATCGGAAAAACAAAACAAGCGTTATTTGTCAGTTTATTTGTGGATTTTAAAATTAACGCTGATAAATACGCTTGTATTCGTACATTATGAAAGCAGCGAGAGATCGCGATACTGTGTTTGTAGTAGGAAACCAAGACGAAGGCACGCAGCTGCCGTGTATGTCGAGAGATGCACATGCCTCAGAGATGCGACCCTTCGATTTTAATTGCGGCCGACCGGTGATCGTGAGGGGAAGGGAGACGTCTGTCCATCTCCTCCGACGCATTCTCGGCAACGGGATTCGACTCGGAAAGTTTGTCTTACCTCGCTCGTCTTCCTCTCCTCGGTCACCTTGACAATTTCACCGAGATTCTCTCTCTCTCTGCAAAACAATCCTGCGATGCGAAGTTAAATGGCGATTTTCTAGAAAGTAGTCGGTAATAAGTTCGCTCCGCTAATTGTCGAGTATGCGTCGACTTCTTACCGCGTATCCGCGAACTTATGCAATCCTTTCGTGTATCACGATACTTTCTGATAAATATCGTTACTGTTATAACATATGTGCAATGTTAGTTTTAGAACATGAAAAATTATTTGAATTATAAAATTGTACATACATGAAATAATATATATATAACAAAATATAGATAATAATCTATTAATAATATTACGTAATTAAATATAGCTGGTAATTTATTAAAATCGATTTTTTTATAAATATTTATATGAAATATTGGACGATCACAAATTCGATCTTTATAATTATATATGCTGATTTCTCTTTTCTTTCGGAATATCTTATATACGAGCAGATTTTTAATAGTATGACCTATCATGAAACTTCCGACGATGCTCGCCTACGTTGGTGATAGCACAATGTCATGCTTAGTTAAGAAAATGACATCACAGATTGTCGCATCGACCATATCAAAATGTACGTTCCGATAAAATAAGATAATAATTAGCGGGTTTATCCTGGACAATGAATGATTAAATGATTGATGTTGAATATGCATATAATGTAAAGATACTATCTCTACTTCTGCAAATTAATCGATGGACTCAATTATCATAAAAATCATTAAAAAAACAATGCATTAGTGCTGAGAATAATAGAACAATATAATGCTATCATGGATCATGCATAGCAAACGTTTCTCTGCATATGCATTACTAAATGTGTGTATTAATAAATATATGCGTATTGTACTCGTCAATGTCATATTATATATGCAAGGCTTAAATACATAAAATAAAGACCTGATTCTGCCATCTTGAGGAAGACAATCCAACTGCTTGAATTCTGTAGCATCTAAAAATCAATGAACTCAGCCGAATAACGTGCTGTCACATGATTATGAGCTTCCGGATATATTTATGCGAACCACAATTACAAACTTAAGATATAGCAAAATGTTGCAATCGATATATTTATGTAAAAACCCAGGAACTAAATATTAGAAATAAGAGTAGAATTAAAAAATGCAATTTGAATACTTAAACATATTGAAATTATATGTAATTATCGAACAATAATGAAAGTAACCCTGGTTTGCGAAGTCATATAGCTGTTGAACCGATGTGAGATGATACTGACCATGCAACTTCTTCGCGATACGTTCGTAACGATTACTACTACGCCGCGAAAGAAATCGTTTCAACTAAGCGGCTGCATAAAGAATGCAATTAAGCGAATCATATATTGTAATTAACGGCCATTCTCTTCTTTTAACCACCGATGCGCTGCTTCTCGTCAGGTGCGTGCAGACGCGCACACTCAAGTGGATAATCCGTTCTCCTCCTCTCTTATTCTTCTTTTTCTTGTTTTCTCGTTATGTAGCTCTTCTCACGAGCGACGCGAGTCAGCTGTTATCGTAAATATCGCGCGAATTAATAAGTCAATCTTAAAATAAGCGAGAAAGCTAGAGAAACAAATGAAAAGTGTCGATTAAAAACGAGCGTATTTTTAAATGTCTCGTTTGATTGACATAAAAAAATAATTTCCATAATGAAAATTATTTTCTAATAATATTTTAATAACAAAAAAATTATAATATCATGAATAAACTAATCGATAATGTTTATAAAAAATGCACATATATGATACATTTATTTATGACTTTATTTATTTTCAATTTTTTTGTTATTTATTTTAAAAAAATTGAAAAGGTGGTGATTTATAACATGAAAAACTGAATTCTCTCTTCCTCTTTCTTTCTCACTTTCCACTTTATCGAAATTATGTTGTTTTCGATCAATTTCAATATCCGTTCAAGATGCAACGGCCAAGTTAATGTTATTTACAGCGATGCTGCTGCATCATCGGTTATAATTCCAGCGACAACAACATAATCATAACAATAATTCATCAGCCGTTGTCGCCGTCAGTCGATGCGTAATAGTCCACATTCGTTTCGCGGCACTCGAAATGCCAATTAAAACAAATAAGCCGATCGTTTCTTTCGTTTCAAATCGACTGACAGCGTCGAATTCTCCGCGAGGACAATCACGTACGCTTAATTGGCGAGCTTAAATACGCCGATCATGTTTTCTCTATTCTGTTGCAACTTTCTCATTTTGATTCTTTCTCTGTTTCATTTATTTACAATAATATATTAGCATGTCATTTCACATGATTCAGTGAAACTGTACTCGGATATGATAGTTCTAATAATTGTTGCATAATGTTTTATATTTTTGATCGGAATGAGGAATCATATAAAGCAGTGTTCGAATGAAAAAATGAAACAATAGAAAGATTTTTATTTTATATTCTTTAAGCTATATATGTGAGTGCATCAAAAATAGCCGGAGAAAATTCGGAGGATGTCAAACCAGGTGACCAATTGACAAGAATGATCGCCAATCAGAATGGGCCGAAGGAGCCGAAAGTTGACTCGTGCCGGTCGCAAATTCAATTAAAAGTTGCGGTTATTAGGTTGGACAATGAGTCCCCGGAGTCTGAGCGTCCCCGGTACGATAAAGGAGCCAGGAGTTCGCGGAGAAAAAAGGACGAAACGTAAAACTGATGGGGTCCTTGCTGATTCCGCTCGGCTGCCACCTTGATTAAGCTCCTTGCGACGCTTCGAGAAAATATAATGACTTCTTTACTCTGCAAACGCCGCCGAATGAATTCCCGTCTCCCTCCTGTACCAAGCAAGTCTTCCGCTTCCTCGCACTCTGTCCAATGGAAGGCACACATCTACGACAGTAAATCAGCTACACGGATGTAGCGCGAACGAGAACAGGGGATTTTCTGGATTCTCTTTCCTTTGCGCATCATCAGCTGCAGGTCGAGAATTAGTTAATTATTATCAGTTAATTATATGTGCGTTTGTCCTCAAACATCGTATGAGGGAGAAGAGAGGAATCAAGTATTAATTATTTAACTGTGCATTAATAAATGAAAATCAGATTAATTTTGTCTTGCTACGTTTTTATAATTTTTTTATGTTAGATGAAACATCAAAAGAACGTGCGAACATTATATTAAAATTCTATTATTCTATTATTCTATTATTCTATTGTTATTATATTGTTCTAGCATGATACATAAAAACTTTGCCTCTTGCTCGTTATAGAGGATACATCTTGATGAATCCTGGGAAAAAATAATGCCCACGTTATATTATAATTTTTAAACACTTGAGAATTTGCCAGATAATTCGTCTGATCGTTCGCTAATCGTTCTTTTTGAGATGCAAAGAAAAAGAATCTTCCCACCGATATCCTGCACGGTCGGTGCGAGGGTTTCATGGATGATCCGTATAATTTTCGCAAGGATGCTCGAAAAAGTTGAAAACGGCAACGGCGCAATCAATCATCCGGATCGGGAGAGAGCGGTAGGAAGCGGAGGAAAGGGGGAGGGGGGGCAGCTTACGCGCCGCGGATTATTATGATAATCGGCGGCTTAATTAAGACCTTACGGTATAACGCGCCCGGATATAAAAGGCAGTCACGGGGCGCGTCGATAGATCTAAACAACGCCACGGGAATGGCCTCGCCGAATTGCTCGCGCGCTCGGCAATCTTGGTCGGAGTGCCGGGGCCGAGATTAAGGGAATAAATATCCAGGCCCGATAATTGTATTGGTAGTTTCAGTAACTAATGATCTAAAAGTCGTTAGCGCGCAGCCGATCGTGAAGGGTGTTACGAGCCTTATACTTTGCCATCGGGGTGGCTGTGCACGGGGTGCAGGAAAGGGTTTCTCCCGGCGCCCCCGGCGAAAATGAAATCGAGACCTTACGTACATTCATCGACGCACGGCCAATCCGAAGTTTGCACGATGGTAATTCACGACCGGTCGATCGACAGGTGCGGAAGATTGGCCGAAGGAGATGTAGAT